CTGATTGTTAGGATTGTCTATAATTCATCGAATTGTCGATCACTTGTGTAGTATTAGATGCAGAGTTGGATCTATTGTAGGGTATGTGTATTGGGAAAGCTGGTGGTAAATGTGTGCTCAGCAACCGGAACGAGAGAGACCGTTATTCACTATTAGTCCACGACCTAAACGTAGATGCTAACTTGACGTGGTGGTCGATCTTGACTGTCGTGATGACCGACCGAGTTTTATGGGCTGGAACACACGTTACTCTAGGTCCTACCACGGTTGGCAGGTCGGTTGAGTGACGGCAGGACCGAAAGTAGTTAATTTAGGTTCGGCAGCGAAGTCGTACTGCAGACTGTAGAGTGGTGACAGCACTAAGGTATTTCCCTCAGACAACCAGCATCTGCAGCAACACCCTTCTCACAACGCAAAGAAGGGGCTAGAAAAGGTCTACTCTAAATTGTCACAACTCATGGAGAAGATTATCTCACTGAATTATACCTACGAATATCCCCTACTCTCACTGGCCATGTTTCGCATCCGTATAGTAGGACGGAGCGAGCTGCTGTGTAGTACACTCGTCCTTTGGTTGGTAATCAGAATGTTAACGAGACTTTCGGAAAAACATGGGACTACCATTCACATTTAGTCCACGATATTGAACAGCTGAGCCAAACAGTCTAGGGTACAGTCTGACTATCCTTCAGCAACAGCTCTACTACTCACTATCTCCAGTCGCCCAGAACGGCAAATTGATGTAAATCCTCCAACTCTTAGAAAGTTTGCAGTCTGTAGGCAACCTAATGCGAGGGATAGCAGCATGAACTGATGGATTAACACGAGGCTGATTTTTAAGCATAGCGGTCCGGTATTGCAATTAGATTAGCTGAGATCTTAGCTAGGATCTGGGGACTGGGAGTAATCGCATCTAACTGGTCTCAGTCGGCAATTGTCTCAGTTTATGAGAAAGGACAAAAGTGCTCTTGAGACAATCACAGAGGAATCCGAATAACTAATATGCCGATGACATAGTTCTATTCGGTGAAGACGCTGACAAAATGCAGAGTCTTCTGACCACCCTAAGCAACAATGCAAGCATGTTCGGGATGCGGTTCTCACCCTCGAAATGCAACATGCTGCTTCAAGACTGGGTTGCATCGGCACCTGAACTAGTGATAGGGAGTGAAGTAGTCCAGCGTGTTGATCACTTCACTTATCTGGAGAGTCGCATCAGCGCTGACTGATTGCCTGGTGACTGACGAAATATCAGCACGAATACAGAAGGCCCGATTGGCTTTTGACAAGTTGCGTCACCTATGGCGAAGGCGAGACATCCCTCTGCTAACCAAAGGACGAGTGTACTGCACAGCAGTTTGCTCCGTCCTACTATACAGATGCGAAACATGGCCAGTGAGAGTAGTAGATATTCGTAGGTTACTAGTATTCGATCATAGGTGTCTCCGGAGCATTGCTCGTATACCGTGGGACAACCGAGTAAGCAATGCTATCGTTAGGAAACGAGTGCTAGGTAAGGATGGCAGATCAATAGATGAAGTGTTGAAACTTCGTCAGTTCAGGTGGTTGGGACATGTGTTACGTATGCCTAACCACCGACTGCCTCGACAAGCTATGTTTTGTGGTGTAGGAGTAGGTTGGAAGAGAGCTAAGGGCAGCCAAACCAAAACACGGCACAAATCCATGAAGTCACTGACAAGCGGACTGAGTCATGTTGGTGGATGTAGGCTACCTGGATGGGGTCTGCGAGACGAAATTCACCGATGGTTAGAGACCTAGAATGAAATGGCTCGAAATCGTTTGCAATGTCGCAAGTTCATCCATTCATTGTGCTCTCTCGAATCCTAAACTTCTGGATTCGTCAGCACCACTACCTTTGTCTTTCTAACCTTATCTGACTGTATTAAACTTCTTGAATAATATCTTCAAAGCCTAGTCTTCTTCATTACCATTAATACCTCTAATATCTCTATCACTATAGGATTTGATTTGACATTTGCGTCTCTGTGCTAATCTGGTATGGCAACCTGAACTTATGTACATACGTACGGAGTCCTACGTTGCAGCTGACTGACGGCAATTGTCCCAGTTTATGAGAAAGGACAAAAGTGCTCTTGAGACAATCACAGAGGAATCAGTATAACTAATATGGTGTCTGAAATGTTAGACTCGATAATGCTTAGACATCTAACTAAAGCCCGTGAAGAGCAAACTCGAGAAAATCAGGTTAGTTTCAAACCTAGATGTGGATGTATAGACCAAATATTTACACTTCGACAGGTTCTAGAACACAGACACATTTTTCGACGCATTTTGTATATATTTGATAATCGAATAATAATCAGTTTAAGTATTTGCGTTATTTAATTTCTTCTGACTTCGTTGACTATCGCAATAGGAATTGTATTTGCGTGGAACAATCTGATAGTTTTTCCTCTGGTGTTAGGAAGACTTAACTATAGAGCTGTTGTGGATTTGGGTGTTGCGTTTGTGTTGAGGACTCGACTGCGGTCCGTGGACGACTTAGGTGTAATTGTCTGTGGGTTGGGTTGAGATTTGGCCGGTGCGACCTAAGGTGCGCGAGTAGGCGATGCTGTGTAGCTGTCCAGGTTAGTTTGCCCATGAGAAGTCCTCCTGAGACTGTAGAGTTTCAGTTGGATAGTTTGACCGACCTGCAACTGCCAGTTAGTTAGGATGTAGGGTAGGCGAGTGCGATGATGCACATGTTTTGCGCGGATCTAGGATGCTAATGTGTAGGAAGCGACCTTCTGATTGTTAGGATTGTCTATAATTCATCGAATTGTCGATCACTTGTGTAGTATTAGATGCAGAGTTGGATCTATTGTAGGGTATGTGTATTGGGAAAGCTGGTGGTAAATGTGTGCTCAGCAACCGGAACGAGAGAGACCGTTATTCACTATTAGTCCACGACCTAAACGTAGATGCTAACTTGACGTGGTGGTCGATCTTGACTGTCGTGATGACCGACCGAGTTTTATGGGCTGGAACACACGTTACTCTAGGTCCTACCACGGTTGGCAGGTCGGTTGAGTGACGGCAGGACCGAAAGTAGTTAATTTAGGTTCGGCAGCGAAGTCGTACTGCAGACTGTAGAGTGGTGACAGCACTAAGGTATTTCCCTCAGACAACCAGCATCTGCAGCAACACCCTTCTCACAACGCAAAGAAGGGGCTAGAAAAGGTCTACTCTAAATCGTCACAACTCATGGAGAAGATTATCTCACTGAATTATACCTACGAATATCCCCTACTCTCACTGGCCATGTTTCGCATCCGTATAGTAGGACGGAGCGAGCTGCTGAGTAGTACACTCGTCCTTTGGTTGGTAATCAGAATGTTAACGAGACTTTCGAAAAATTATGGGGCTACCATTCACATTTAGTCCACGATATTGAACAGCTGAGCCAAACAGTCTAGGGTACAGTCTAACTATCCTTCAGCAACAGCTCTACTACTCACTATCTCCAGTCGCCCAGAACGGCAAATTGATGTAAATCCTCCAACTCTTAGAAAGTTTGCAGTCTGTAGGCAACCTAATGCGAGGGATAGCAGCATGAACTGATGGATTAACACGAGGCTGATTTTTAAGCATAGCGGTCCGGTATTGCAATTAGATTAGCTGAGATCTTAGCTAGGATCTGGGGACTGGGAGTAATCGCATCTAACTGGTCTCAGTCGGCAATTGTCTCAGTTTATGAGAAAGGACAAAAGTGCTCTTGAGACAATCACAGAGGAATCCGAATAACTAATATGCCGATGACATAGTTCTATTCGGTGAAGACGCTGACAAAATGCAGAGTCTTCTGACCACCCTAAGCAACAATGCAAGCATGTTCGGGATGCGGTTCTCACCCTCGAAATGCAACATGCTGCTTCAAGACTGGGTTGCATCGGCACCTGAACTAGTGATAGGGAGTGAAGTAGTCCAGCGTGTTGATCACTTCACTTATCTGGAGAGTCGCATCAGCGCTGACTGATTGCCTGGTGACTGACGAAATATCAGCACGAATACAGAAGGCCCGATTGGCTTTTGACAAGTTGCGTCACCTATGGCGCAGGCGAGACATCCCTCTGCTAACCAAAGGACGAGTGTACTGCACAGCAGTTTGCTCCGTCCTACTATACAGATGCGAAACATGGCCAGTGAGAGTAGTAGATATTCGTAGGTTACTAGTATTCGATCATAGGTGTCTCCGGAGCATTGCTCGTATACCGTGGGACAACCGAGTAAGCAATGCTATCGTTAGGAAACGAGTGCTAGGTAAGGATGGCAGATCAATAGATGAAGTGTTGAAACTTCGTCAGTTCAGGTGGTTGGGACATGTGTTACGTATGCCTAACCACCGACTGCCTCGACAAGCTATGTTTTGTGGTGTAGGAGTAGGTTGGAAGAGAGCTAAGGGCAGCCAAACCAAAACACGGCACAAATCCATGAAGTCACTGACAAGCGGACTGAGTCATGTTGGTGGATGTAGGCTACCTGGATGGGGTCTGCGAGACGAAATTCACCGATGGTTAGAGACCTAGAATGAAATGGCTCGAAATCGTTTGCAATGTCGCAAGTTCATCCATTCATTGTGCTCTCTCGAATCCTAAACTTCTGGATTCGTCAGCACCACTACCTTTGTCTTTCTAACCTTATCTGACTGTATTAAACTTCTTGAATAATATCTTCAAAGCCTAGTCTTCTTCATTACCATTAATACCTCTAATATCTCTATCACTATAGGATTTGATTTGACATTTGCGTCTCTGTGCTAATCTGGTATGGCAACCTGAACTTATGTACATACGTACGGAGTCCTACGTTGCGGCTGACTGACGGCAATTGTCCCAGTTTATGAGAAAGGACAAAAGTGCTCTTGAGACAATCACAGAGGAATCAGTATAACTAATATGGTGTCTGAAATGTTAGACTCGATAATTGACTGTTGGTCGGTGTGATGCTTAGAAGTATATGAATAAAGAATTGAAGATATGCACAAACGAATGTATTGTATTTAGAATTCGAAATCAAGCATTTCACAACAACAAGAAGTTACTAGTTCATTCAAACACCACATCCGCCGCAGCTTAAATTGGAATGTATATGTCTGTAATCAATTGTACGTCTTCTTCTCAAATTCATCCTGTGTCTGTCCGACAGTGTATTTGGTAAAGGCTCTGTATTATCTAGAATGCTCTCATTAGTATTAGAATTAACAACCGGAATCGGAACAGACTCACCTGGTTCCTGGAATTGTATTTGATCAACATGTCGATTGTGTGTACTTAAGTCATTGATATCTTGAAGTCGCACCATAGATTTCCCAACATTCTTCAGAACAATCCCCGTGGATGGTCGAAGTTCATTGCCACGATAATATGTAACTTCTGCAGACTCCAAACATCTCATATTCGACCGAAGAATTCTTCCTTTTACTAGTTTTGACGGAGTCTCTTTCGTCACCGAATGTCTGGCATTTCTATATTGCAGTAGAAAGGTATCTACTCCCCTCTCCAGCTCATTAAATGTTGAGGCGGCAATAGAATCACTCAACCTCGAATGCTGATTTTTCAGCTTATGACACTTTTCGCAATTCTTTGCTGTACGACAAATATCTGCATTTAATGACTGTCGAGAACTGTAGTCAACATGTTGAATTTGCTTGGCACTCCCGTGCTGAACCATTTTCATACTTCCATTGCACTTAGCACACGTGGCTATCAAATCTTTAAGTAAAGCATCAGAATTTTCTTTAGAAACTAGGAAAGACAACTCCACTTTAAGTCTTCTCAAATTCTTTAAACCCAGTATTGACAGTCCTGTTTCACTAACTAAAAATTCACAAGGTATGTATGAGGAATTATCATCTCTTATTAGCAATTCACAACATCCTCGTATAGGCAGTTTGTGTCCAGTAATCCCCAATATTGATACATCAGTGGGTCGTATCACAACGTTCGGATCTAACGATTTCAGGTTCTTGAATGAAATAATGGACTCTATACTGCCTGTGTCCACAATAAAGTCATGAAATGAACCAAGTGATGTATATAGTCGCTTTTGAATATGAGCATTACCTTTCGAAATGGTAGTTAAAGATAAATGATCATTAGGATCAGCTGAATTATTGGGATCTAAATTACAAGCTTTAGTACTACTTGCGGCAAAATGAACAGTAACTTTGCATACTGCTTGAATGTGTCCTATCTTACCACATCTAAAACATTTAGCATTACGAAATGTACAATAATAACGAGAATGAAGTTTTCCACATGATAAACATTTGCCAAACTTGGTCTCACCTTTTTGATTTCCTTTGTAATTCTTTTTTGAGACACCGTTCATTTTTACACGAGAATAGGAACCTCTGTTAAACGAACACAATTTTGATTGACCCTGAGATTGTTTTTCATCATGACAACTAATCAAAGTATTGGAAATCTTCATCGACTGAATATCAAGTTCATTCAACGCCTCGTAGTTAATGCACGCAGTTCTAACATCTTGAAAGGAACAGTTTGACATTCTTAACAGCTCTCTTTCCAAACTAGGTATGTTAATTCCTGCAATTAATCGGTCTCTCAGCTGCACATGAAGTTGATCACCGAAATTACATTTGACAGCCTGTTTCTGCAATTAAAGAATGAATTCCTTAACATTTTGGTCATTTTGACGAATCATCTTATGAAATTTCGCTCTTTCACGGCATTCAAAACCAGGGCACTTTACATGATTCAATAATAACTCCTTTAGCATTGCATAGGGAAGTGAAATAGGTTTTTCTGGATATGCCAAAGTTTTTAATAAGCTGTACGCTTCTTTTCCGATGAATGTTAGGAAATGAGCCACAATTTTATCATCTTTGATATCTTTCCTGATCATACTCCAGATTTCAAACCTTTCCAAATAATCTTCAAAAGCTTCAGAAGTAGAATGAATATCTAGCTGTTCCATTACAAGATCCTGCTCGCAACGCCACTGTGATGCTTAGAAGTATATGAATAAAGAATTGAAGATATGCACAAACGAATGTATTGTATTTAGAATTCGAAATCAAGCATTCCACAAGAACAAGAAGTTACAAGTTCATTCAAACACCACAGTCGTGTTGAGATTTGGCCGGTGCGACCTAAGGTGCGCGAGTAGGCGATGCTGTGTAGCTGTCCAGGTTAGTTTGCCCATGAGAAGTCCTCCTGAGACTGTAGAGTTTCAGTTGGATAGTTTGACCGACCTGCAACTGCCAGTTAGTTAGGATGTAGAGTAGGCGAGTGCGATGATGCACATGTTTTGCGCGGATCTAGGATGCTAATGTGTAGGAAGCGACCTTCTGATTGTTAGGATTGTCTATAATTCATCGAATTGTCGATCACTTGTGTAGTATTAGATGCAGAGTTGGATCTATTGTAGGGTATGTGTATTGGGAAAGCTGGTGGTAAATGTGTGCTCAGCAACCGGAACGAGAGAGACCGTTATTCACTATTAGTCCACGACCTAAACGTAGATGCTAACTTGACGTGGTGGTCGATCTTGACTGTCGTGATGACCGACCGAGTTTTATGGGCTGGAACACACGTTACTCTAGGTCCTACCACGGTTGGCAGGTCGGTTGAGTGACGGCAGGACCGAAAGTAGTTAATTTAGGTTCGGCAGCGAAGTCGTACTGCAGACTGTAGAGTGGTGACAGCACTAAGGTATTTCCCTCAGACAACCAGCATCTGCAGCAACACCCTTCTCACAACGCAAAGAAGGGGCTAGAAAAGGTCTACTCTAAATCGTCACAACTCATGGAGAAGATTATCTCACTGAATTATACCTACGAATATCCCCTACTCTCACTGGCCATGTTTCGCATCCGTATAGTAGGACGGAGCGAGCTGCTGAGTAGTACACTCGTCCTTTGGTTGGTAATCAGAATGTTAACGAGACTTTCGGAAAAACATGGGGCTACCATTCACATTTAGTCCACGATATTGAACAGCTGAGCCAAACAGTCTAGGGTACAGTCTGACTATCCTTCAGCAACAGCTCTACTACTCACTATCTCCAGTCGCCCAGAACGGCAAATTGATGTAAATCCTCCAACTCTTAGAAAGTTTGCAGTCTGTAGGCAACCTAATGCGAGGGATAGCAGCATGAACTGATGGATTAACACGAGGCTGATTTTTAAGCATAGCGGTCCGGTATTGCAATTAGATTAGCTGAGATCTTAGCTAGGATCTGGGGACTGGGAGTAATCGCATCTAACTGGTCTCAGTCGGCAATTGTCTCAGTTTATGAGAAAGGACAAAAGTGCTCTTGAGACAATCACAGAGGAATCCGAATAACTAATATGCCGATGACATAGTTCTATTCGGTGAAGACGCTGACAAAATGCAGAGTCTTCTGACCACCCTAAGCAACAATGCAAGCATGTTCGGGATGCGGTTCTCACCCTCGAAATGCAACATGCTGCTTCAAGACTGGGTTGCATCGGCACCTGAACTAGTGATAGGGAGTGAAGTAGTCCAGCGTGTTGATCACTTCACTTATCTGGAGAGTCGCATCAGCGCTGACTGATTGCCTGGTGACTGACGAAATATCAGCACGAATACAGAAGGCCCGATTGGCTTTTGACAAGTTGCGTCACCTATGGCGCAGGCGAGACATCCCTCTGCTAACCAAAGGACGAGTGTACTGCACAGCAGTTTGCTCCGTCCTACTATACAGATGCGAAACATGGCCAGTGAGAGTAGTAGATATTCGTAGGTTACTAGTATTCGATCATAGGTGTCTCCGGAGCATTGCTCGTATACCGTGGGACAACCGAGTAAGCAATGCTATCGTTAGGAAACGAGTGCTAGGTAAGGATGGCAGATCAATAGATGAAGTGTTGAAACTTCGTCAGTTCAGGTGGTTGGGACATGTGTTACGTATGCCTAACCACCGACTGCCTCGACAAGCTATGTTTTGTGGTGTAGGAGTAGGTTGGAAGAGAGCTAAGGGCAGCCAAACCAAAACACGGCACAAATCCATGAAGTCACTGACAAGCGGACTGAGTCATGTTGGTGGATGTAGGCTACCTGGATGGGGTCTGCGAGACGAAATTCACCGATGGTTAGAGACCTAGAATGAAATGGCTCGAAATCGTTTGCAATGTCGCAAGTTCATCCATTCATTGTGCTCTCTCGAATCCTAAACTTCTGGATTCGTCAGCACCACTACCTTTGTCTTTCTAACCTTATCTGACTGTATTAAACTTCTTGAATAATATCTTCAAAGCCTAGTCTTCTTCATTACCATTAATACCTCTAATATCTCTATCACTGTAGGATTTGATTTGACATTTGCGTCTCTGTGCTAATCTGGTATGGCAACCTGAACTTATGTACATACGTACGGAGTCCTACGTTGCAGCTGACTGACGGCAATTGTCCCAGTTTATGAGAAAGGACAAAAGTGCTCTTGAGACAATCACAGAGGAATCAGTATAACTAATATGGTGTCTGAAATGTTAGACTCGATAATTGACTGTTGGTCGGTGTGATGCTTAGAAGTATATGTATCAAGAATTAAAGCTATGCACAAACGAATGTATTGTATTTAGAATTCGAAATCAAGCATTTTAAAACAACAAGAAGTTACTAGTTCATTCAAACACCACATCCGCCACAGCTTAAATTGGAATGTATATGTCTGTAATCAATTGTACGTCTCCTCCTCAAATTCATCCTGTGTCTGTCCGACAGTGTATTGGATAAAGGCTCTGTATTATCTAGAATGCTCTCATTAGTATTAGAATTAACAACCTGAATTGGAACAGACTCACCTGGTTCCTGGAATTGTATTTGATCAACATGTCGATTATGTGTACTTAAGTCATTGATATCTAGAAGTCGCACCATAGATTTCCCGACATTCTTCTGAACGATCCCCGTGGATGGTCGAAGTTCATTGCCACGATAATATGTAATTTCTGCAGACTCCAAACATCTCATATTCGACCGAAGAATTCTTCCTTTTAATAGTTTTGATAGAGTCTCTTTCGTCACTGAATGTCTGGCATATCTATATTGCAGTAGAAAGGTATCTACTCCCCTCTCCAGCTCATTAAATGTTGAGGCGACAATAGAATCACTCAACCTCGAATGCTGATTTTTCAGCTTATGACACTTTTCGCAATTCTTTGCTGTACGACAAATATCTGCATTTAATGACTGTCGAGAAATGTAGTCAACATGTTGAATTTGCTTGGCACTCCCGTGCTGAACCATTTTCATACTTCCATTGCACTTAGCACACTTGGCTATCAAATCTTTAAGTAAAGCATCAGAATTTTCTTTAGAAACTAGGAAAGACAACTCCACTTTAAGTCTTCTCAAATTCTTTAAACCCAGTATTGACAGTCCCGTTTCGCTAACTAGGAATTCACATGGTATGTATGAGGAATCATCATCTCTTATTAGCAATTCACAACATCCTCGTATAGGCAGTCTGTGTCCAGTAATCCCCAATATTGATACATCAGTGGGTCGTATCACAACGTTCGGATCTAACGATTTCAGGTTCTTGAATGAAATAATGGACTCTATACTGCCTGTGTCCACAATAAAGTCATGAAATGAACCAAGTGATGTATATAGTCGCTTTTGAATATGAGCATTACCTTTCGAAATGGTAGTTAAAGATAAATGATCATTAGGATCAGCTGAATCATTGGAATCTAAATTACAGGCTTTAGCACTACTTGAGGCAAAATGAACAGTAGCTTTGCATACTGCTTGAATGTGTCCTATCTTACCACATCTAAAACATTTAGCATTACGAAATGTACAATAATAACGAGAATGAAGTTTTCCACATGATAAACATTTGCCAAACTTGGTCTCACCTTTTTGATTTCCTTTGTAATTCTTTTTTGAGACACCGTTCATTTTTACACAAGAATAGGAACCTCTGTTAAACGAACACAATTTTGATTGACCCTGAGATTGCTTTTCATCATGACAACTAATCAAAGTATTGGAAATCTTCATCGACTGAATATCAAGTTCATTCAACGCCTCGTAGTTAATGCACGCAGTTCTAACATCTTGAAAGGAACAGTTTGACATTCTTAACAGCTCTCTTTCCAAACTAGGTATGTTAATTCCTGCAATTAATCGGTCTCTCAGCTGCACATGAAGTTGATCACCAAAATTACATTTGACAGCCTGTTTCTGCAATTCAAGAATGAATTCCTTAACATTTTGGTCATTTTGACGAATCATCTTATGAAATTTCGCTCTTTCACGGCATTCAAAACCAGGGCACTTTGCATGATTCAATAATAACTCCTTAAGCATTGCATAGGGAAGTGAAATAGGTTTTTCTGGATATGCCAAGGTTTTCAATAAGCTGTACGCTTCTTTTCCGATGAATGTTAGGAAATGAGCCACAATTTTATCATCTTTGACATCTTTCCTGGTCATACTCCAGATTTCAAACCTTTCCAAATAATCTTCAAAAGCTTCAGAAGTAGAATGAATATCTAGCTGTTCCATTACGAATTCCATCGCGACGCCAGTGTAGTATTTAGAAGTATATGTATCAAGAATTAAAGCTATGCACAAACGAATGTATTGTATTTAGAATTCGAAATCAAGCATTTTACAACAACAAGAAGTTACTAGTTCATTCAAACACCACAGTTTAATATTATAAACGATTAAAATTCCGAATGCTTCTTTATTCTTCCTTATAATCAGACTGTAGTAGGCTTGGTTTCCAATTTATTAGACTGTAATTGGTCTTCGAATCAAAATTCAGACTGTAATTGGATATTCTACCGTAGCAGTTCAAATTGATTCCAGTAATTGCAAATCGAACGCGCTATCTCCCAACCCAGTGTCAAAAACACAATAATTCTAG